GGGAACACCGGCGTGTAAGTTGAAGTAGTCAGAGTGTTGTTGGAGGAACTTAATTCTCATTGTCCTATTGTCTAAGTAGTTCGAAAGAAGTTTGGTGGTGATGAGAGGAAGATTAAAGTTGTTGCATAGTTTGAATTTTAAGCCGTCATGCCAAACAGTGTCAAAGGCCTTCTCAACGTCCTTAGTGATGAGTGCAGTCTTAAGTCTTTGGTGCTGATTGATACTGAGGTAGTTAGTCATGATGTTTAAGGCGTCGTGAGTGGACCGGTGAGGCCGAAATCCAAACTGTTTGTTAGTGAGTAAGTCATTGTGTTCAAGGTGCGTTCTAAGTCTCTGGTTGATCAGCCTTTCAAAGACTTTGCCAAGTGTCTCTAGAAGGCTGATGGGTCTATAGTTCTTTGGGTCAGTGTGGGGTTTCCCAGGTTTTGGAATAAGAACGGCTGTGGCAGACTTAAAGTTGAGTGGAAAGTACCCAGAGGCAAGGGAGGCGTTGAATAGGTTAGTGATAGCAGTAATGATAGAAGCAGGGAGTTGTCTAAGAAGGATATGTCCAATGCCAGACGCACCAGGGGCTCTACGACGAGTGCCCATGAGAGCTGTCTTGACATCAGCTAGAGTTAGGGGAGTCTGTAGTTCAGTGTTTGAATTGAGATTTTCAAGGTGAATGAGGTCGTCTGGTGTAGTTGCTTGTCTATTTTGGTGTATCCAGTCTTCGACTATTTCAATGTTGGGGCGTGCAAATGGTTCAGGAGGATGTGGGTGAAAGATTTGTTCCCAGTGGTGTTTAAAAATGTTGAGAACTGCTTCAGGATCAGTGATTTTGTTGTTATTATGTAGAAGGTATTTAAACGGTGTGTGAGTTGATCCTTGTAATCGTTTGATTCGTTTCCAGAATTCTTGAGGTGTCAGTTTTCTGTATTGTTCTGCTTGTTCTATAAGGTGTTTCCAATGTTTTGTGTGGTCTTCATCTAGGCTGTTAAGGATATGGTTTTTTAATGCTGTTAGGTCCCATAGTATTTGTCCATGACGATGTATGTTTTGTAAGAATCTAGTGTGATAGCAAGCTAAGAGGCGTTTGGAGCGAATGGAGGGGGTGAAAGTGAAATGTGGTTTGTGTGCTGTTTTAGGAATGGAGATGTTTGCTGCATGAATGATGGTGTCTTGTATGTTGCGTGCTTGTGTGTCGATGTCAGTGTGATGTTTGTCATTGTATTCATAAGTGAGATCAGTGTCATCAATGTGTTGTTTGAACATGTCCCAGTTTGCCCTATGGTATGAGAATTGAGGAGTGCTGGGGATGAGAATAGGATTTGTGGAGACTGTGAGAATTAAGGGAATATGATCAGAGCCCGTAATGGGCCCTGGTGAAATGAAGTGTTGCAAGTTGCTGCCGTGTCTGTTGGTGAATATGAGATCAGGCCGGCCAGAACCTGTATGTGTGAAACAAGTGGGGAAATCAGGGCCAAGAAAGAATAGATGTTTTTGGGTGTATATTTGGTGAAGCTGTCTGCCATGCTGATTTGTGGTATTGTGGTGGAATGTAGGGTGTTGTGCATTGAGGTCTGCAAGCAGAAAAACAGGCAAGTGAGAGTTGTTGAAGAGAGTTATGAAATCTTGCATGGGAATGTCGGTGTTAGGACGGGTGTAGGTTGTGCAGATGATGAGAGACCCCATTTGTGTATGAACTTTAATGGCTAGGAAATGTTTGTGAAGCCAATGAGTGTGTAAGAGTTCGTGTTTGTATGAAGAACGGATGAGTATTGCAACTCCTTCATGTGCTTCATCTGGTGACTGGTAAGAGGAGTAGCCATAATGTTTGATTTTATATGAGTTCGTAATGTATGTGCTATTTAATAATAGCACATCAGGTCTCTCGATCTCAATAAAATCTGACACCATGTGTCTAATGTTGAAATATGCCCGCACATTAAACTGTATGATCTTTATGAATTTTTAGGTTTTGATGGGGTGCTGGTGGGGTTTTGTGCATGTACAAGAGCATGAGGGTTGCGTGATTCAATGAGTTGGGCAGTTATTGAGGAGGGTGCATCTTGGAGGATGGTGGTAGGAATTGTAGGATATTTACAGCGGGAGGTGGGAGTAAGACAACGGGTTGTTGAACGGGCTCGGGACGAGACAAGATGAGTTACAGAAGAAATGACTGAAGTTGTTGGGGGATGGAGGGAGACAGAAGGCTTGTTGACAGGGACCGGGTGAGAGGTATCAGAGGTTGTAGTGTTAGTAGTCAGATTGGAAGTGGAGAGGACAATGTTGGGAGAAGAGGTTGAAAGTGCCTTTGACATGGATGCTTCAGTTTGGGATAGTCCAGGATGTGCTGTTTGGTCAGTGGCACCGTTTTCTGTAGCAGTCAGGAGTGGGTTGGTAGGAGATTGTGGGGGAACTGTAGTATTTTCTTCAGCTGAAGTCATGGTGTTTTGTGGAGTGAGGACTGTAGGCGAGAATGGAGCAGAGCGCAATAGTTGAGTAGGAGGAACAGAGATACTAGGAAGGCCGTTATGAGTGAGAAAGATTGGAAGATAGTCAGCAAAGTCACGGCCATCGTCCTTGGCCTTCAAGTAAGCAGCTTGTACACAGGCAGTGACTCGTTCATATGCAAGGTTCTGAAGAGGAGAATAAGGTGGAGGTGGTGGGTGAGGGAAGAGAGGTGGAGAGGACTGAGTTTGTTGTGCAGTATTATGATGATGTTGCTGGTGAGGTGAAGCATTAAGGACACTGGCATAGGACATTGAGGTGGCTGATGCTGTTTGGTGATGAGATAGGTTATGGGAGGTTGAAGAAGAGGAATGAGGGTGTGCTTGAGTGCGAGGTTGGTTATTGCGAAGAGATTTTAGGGTTTGCTTTCTCAAAGGGCAAGATTTGTCAACTGCTGAATGACCTCCTTGGCAATTGATGCATTTTGAAGTGTTGGCAGAGCACTGAGTGTAAAAATGGCCTTCTGCAGAACATTTTGAACAAATTTGTGGGCTTTTACATTTCCGGGTTTCATGACTGTATTTGTAGCATTTAAAGCATTGCAGCAAAGGAAGATAGTCAACTGGACTGATGAAATAGGGAGGAGTGCTGGTGTTGAGGATTTTTATCCCATGATGCAAGAGTTTTTGAGCTTCTGTAGGGGAGGAACACTGGATCTTAAGGTGTTTTGTGTTGGGCACTGGGTATATTTCCATGACAGTAATAGCATTCCTGTGTGAGATGTCTTGGGAGAGATTGATAGTGTTAGGTGCTGATAGGACAGAGCTGTCGACATTTCTTACAAGGATGGAGCATTTAGTTTTTTGTTCTATTGTGAGGACAGGAGTCAGTGAAGCTTGTGTGAGTTTTGATAAAGCAGGTTCCCTGAAACAGGCAAAAAGGTCGTCTTCTGAGGCAATGAGAAATTTGATGGTGTTTGTGTTGGCATGTTTTATATGGTTAGTGGCTGGTGTGCCAGTGGCATTGTAAAAGGTAGTGATGCAGTCAACTGTGTCTATGGGTGTATTCCCAGTGTAGGTCATCCGTAGACAGTGAGCCATTGTGACTCACTGTCTACTGACAGTCCCGTGTCTTGTGCCAATCACTGCGATTCCATTAGCTCAGTGGGGGGGTCAGTGTGCTCGTGAGCTGTGGGTTGAAGCTCGGTTGTCAGAGGCGTAATTCCGGGTTCCTAGCAGGCTAATTGAACCCGGTTCGGCACAAATACAAAGTATTCGTGAGTCCTGAAGGTGTTACTCAAGGGCAACCCCCACTGCTAGTTGACTCGCACTATCACGAGGTTCTAGCAGTGGATCGGCATAGCAAACAAGCCAGGCAGGGAGACACAGGGCGCAAGCACGTGCTGTGACCCCACCTGGGAGGAAAGGACGAATACCCCACTGCACTTTCACCGCACAGGGGGTAGGTCCCGGCCTGAAGAGGAAGAAATGTTTAGCAGAGGAGAGAAAGAGTGCTATACACGGCAATACACATTACGTAAGTTAGGCCATCCAGCTGTCCCTGGTTTTATTCAGGGTGGCAGTACGGGTTGGCCCACTAGGGTAATGTATCTTTGCACGTTATATCACTGATAGAGCTGTAACATAAACCGTGAACACGCCGAGAGGAAGAGCCGTCGTTGCCTGAAAAAGAGGTGTGTGCCAGTTTGCCTGGGTGTTGCCTTGGATGGAAGATGGCTGTGATAAGGATGTGGCCCCAGGTAGGGTTACCACGAGAGTATGCTCGTCTGGGCCGACCAAGCGGCCCTGACCTTGCAAGTTAGCAACAGGTGCTACTAGCGCTCTGCATCTCTGGCTGTTGTTAAATCGATGCTGTTGGATCACTGTGGTGGTTGTGATGTCAGATGCCTCAAAACGGTGGTCCCATGTAACTGCAATAATGCAGAGGCAGGTGGTTGCAGGTGCGGGGGCGCTCAAACAGCGTATCGCCTAGATCTCACTGCGAGCGCGACGTGCTGCTGCTTCCGTTGCCAATGAAAAGATGAAAAATTCGGCTGAACTGAACTGAATAATACAGGAGAAGATGCCCATTGGGGCGAGCCTTGAAGTGGGGACAGCTGAAGAGTAGTCGATGAGAGGAAATGCTGAAGTTGAAGAAAAAGTGCCAGGGCTAAACCCAGCTGCGTGGCAATACGTCGATGCTGCAAACAACCCAACAACTGGCTAGGCTTGGAGGCGGGTCTGGAAGGCGGCGGTGGCAGTGCTTCAGCATTCAAGGTGGAAACAATCTTTCTTCATGTGGTGTCTTCTTCTTCTTCAATTTGGTGTTTCTTCTTTCTTCTTGCTTCGAGTAATCATTTGATGTTTGTAATCGGCGTAGTCTGATGGGAAAAGGTCCTTTGACAATGTGGTTTCGTCGCATTCAACGAAGATTACTTCGTTCTTTAGTGTGTACTTTAAGTTTGGATCATTCAGCAGGCATTCCGCATACCTTGTGTTGAGTATTTTGCTGGAGAGGCGTCTGTATTCGGGAGTTCCAAGTGTAAGTTGTTCACGTTGATCATATAGTGCGGAGACTCTTGGAGACTCCTGTGTTGCTGGAGATGGTGATTGTGCTTCAACGTCAATCGAGGCAGTAGAGTCATCATCGGAAAACAAGTGTTGGTTTTCAGAAGCATCAGGTGTAGGTACCTGTGAAGCTGGTGTAGTCTCAGGTGCGGCTGGTGTATTTTCTGGTGAAGCTGGTGAAGTTGGTGCAGTCTCAGGTACCACTGGAGAAGTAGCTGGTTCGTCTGGAGTAGTAGCAGTGTGCAAGGATGTTGCAGAGTCTGTATCAGGTTGCACAGGGTGGGCGTCAGCAGACAGGATATCTGCCAATGCAGTTGAAGAGATGGTGATGCTGATGTTAGAAGCAGAAGTGGTATTTGTTGCTGAAGTCGTAGCATTGGTGTTGGCTGAGGCTGTTGTTGTGAAGAGCTCGTCACGAACAGTAAATGTTGGTAAACCGTTGTCAGCGTACATAATGTTCAGAATTCGTACAAATTTCGGCACGATTTCCCCAGACTATATCCCGTCAAGCGGACGTACTTGTAGCATGGCAACTCCTAACTCCTGCCTGTCCTTACTTTATGCTTGTACTCGAGCAGAAACACGGCTTTCTCACAACGCTTTCAAAACTGCAGTTGCCTACTCGTCTGTTTCACGTCTCTGTGAAATGACTTTTGCACAAATCCAAAAAATAGAGCAAAATCAGCGATAATAGTGTTTGAGGTGAGCTGCCTGTTGGCTGCAGCCAGAGGAAGGAGGGGAGGGGCAACGGGGTGACGTAGGCGAGTCGAGCAGCCAATGGCGCTCGAGCAAGCGCCTCGAGACGGCGTATATAAGCAAAAATTTTTCGGCGCCGGCCATCACAAACCACAATTGTTCACCATGGCTCGCACCAAGCAGACTGCTCGCAAGTCCACGGGAGGCAAGGCTCCTCGTAAGCAGCTGGCCACCAAGGCAGCACGCAAGTCTGCTCCTGCCACAGGGGGCGTGAAGAAGCCTCACCGTTACAGGCCCGGAACGGTCGCCCTGCGTGAGATCCGTCGTTACCAGAAGAGCACCGAGTTGCTCATCAGGAAACTTCCCTTCCAGCGTCTGGTGCGCGAGATTGCCCAGGACTTCAAGACCGATCTTCGCTTCCAGTCGTCTGCCGTCATGGCTTTACAGGAGGCATCCGAGGCTTACCTGGTCGGTCTCTTCGAGGACACTAACCTCTGTGCCATCCACGCCAAGCGTGTCACCATCATGCCAAAGGACATTCAGCTTGCTCGCCGTATCCGTGGAGAGCGTGCATAAGCTAAAACGACCACCCTAGTATACACCAAACTCGGCCCTTCTCAGGGCCAAAATATCCTTCTAAGGAGATTTCAGACATTCCTAGCATCAGTCATATGAATTAACCTTCATCTACACATATAATAAATAAATAAATAAATAAATAAATACACTAATTTAGGTGTCATACATACACGTGATATCAATAAATCAAGTAGTCATTTGTAGTACAACCTGTTCTCTTACAAACAAAACGCCGTCGCTTTTCGCTCTTATGCACTGTCAAGGATCACCCCCCCCCCCCCCAAATAAAAATTGTCATACTGTACTAGAAATAAAAGCAGCTTGTATAAGTGACATACTGTCCAGTCCTGTTTTATTCTGTTTTCGGTCCTCTGGCTTAATCTGTTAAGTTAGGAGATGACATTTTAAATTAACCGTTTTCTTGACATTTTCAAACCTAAGAGGGTGGCCTGCATAGTAATCCTAATGTGGAACATAACAATGAATCTCTAATCTCTAGAAAAAAAAAGATACCGAGTGCTTATATGTGTGAGAGAGAGAGAGAGAGAGAGAGAGAGAGAGAGAGAGAGAGAGAGAGAGAGAGAGAGAGAGAGAGAGAGAGAGAGAGAGACACAGACAGACAGACAGACAGACAGACAGACAAGACAGAGACAGACAGACAGACAGACAGACAGACAGACAGACAGAGACTGAGAGAGAGAAACACACACAGACAGTTTCATAAATATTCTCATTTTATAGCTATTTGCTTTCAGTGACAGAGGTTTTTGTTATAATAGTATTGGTGTCTAACACTCACAATCTCTTTAGAAATTAAAGTGTGGCTCCAATGGAGCCGAGTTTGTTGGTTTGAGGCCAAGCCACCACCACAGGGCAGTAAGTAAGCCGTTTACTTGGAGGAGGTGTACTTGGTGACGGCCTTAGTGCCCTCAGAGACGGCGTGCTTGGCCAGTTCTCCGGGCAACAGGAGCCTTACAGCCGTCTGGATCTCCCGACTGGTATGGTGGAACGCTTGTTGTAGTGAGCCAGGCGAGAAGCCTCGGCGGCGATGCGCTCGAAGATGTCGTTCACGAACGAGTTCATGATCGACATGGCTTTGGAAGAGATACCAGTGTCGGGGTGGACCTGCTTCAGCACTTTGTAGATGTAGATGCTGTAGCTCTCCTTCCTCCTGCGCTTCTTTTTCTTATCGCCCTTGGCAATGGCCTTCTGGGCCTTTCCGGCCTTCTTGGCAGCCTTTCCAGATGCCTTGGGTGGCATGATGATGCTCGTGCTGGCTGGCTGGCTGGCGTTGCGATACAATAATGAACTTTTGCGAACTGAACTGAATAATACAGGAGAAGATGCCCATTGGGGCGAGCCTTGAAGTGGGGACAGCTGAAGAGTAGTCGGTGAGAGGAAATGCTGAAGTTGAAGAAAAAGTGCCAGGGCTAAACCCAGCTGCGTGACAATACGTCGATGCTGCAAACAACCCAACAACTGGCTAGGCTTGGAGGCGGGTCTGGAAGGCGGCGGTGGCAGTGCTTCAGCATTCAAGGTGGAAACAATCTTTCTTCATGTGGTGTCTTCTTCTTCTTCAATTTGGTGTTTCTTCTTTCTTCTTGCTTCGAGTAATCATTTGATGTTTGTAATCGGCGTAGTCTGGTGGGAAAAGGTCCTTTGACAATGTGGTTTCGTCGCATTCAACGAAGATTACTTCGTTCTTTAGTGTGTACTTTAAGTTTGGATCATTCAGCAGGCATTCCGCATACCTTGTGTTGAGTATTTTGCTGGAGAGGCGTCTGTATTCGGGAGTTCCAAGTGTAAGTTGTTCACGTTGATCATATAGTGCGGAGACTCTTGGAGACTCCTGTGTTGCTGGAGATGGTGATTGTGCTTCAACGTCAATCGAGGCAGTAGAGTCATCATCGGAAAACAAGTGTTGGTTTTCAGAAGCATCAGGTGTAGGTACCTGTGAAGCTGGTGTAGTCTCAGGTGCGGCTGGTGTATTTTCTGGTGAAGCTGGTGAAGTTGGTGCAGTCTCAGGTACCACTGGAGAAGTAGCTGGTTCGTCTGGAGTAGTAGCAGTGTGCAAGGATGTTGCAGAGTCTGTATCAGGTTGCACAGGGTGGGCGTCAGCAGACAGGATATCTGCCAATGCAGTTGAAGAGATGGTGATGCTGATGTTAGAAGCAGAAGTGGTATTTGTTGCTGAAGTCGTAGCATTGGTGTTGGCTGAGGCTGTTGTTGTGAAGAGCTCGTCACGAACAGTAAATGTTGGTAAACCGTTGTCAGCGTACATAATGTTCAGAATTCGTACAAATTCCTTGGTGTTCGTGCCTGCAATCATTTCAGCAGTGCGGATGAGTCCCATTATGACGTTGTGGTTCCTGTTAGGGAGCAGCATCTGGTGTGGTGAGGGCTGGCTTGTTGATTCAGCAGAGTAAACTTGTGGCTGTCGCTGCTGCGTCGATGATTGGTTGGCGGGCTGGGACCCAGGGCCCCAATGGGATGCAGTCTGTGCAGAAGCTCCGCCCCCTCCCGGAAGCAGAGGAAAGTTGGCGGCTTGCACGTTGAATGTTGACGGTTCTCGTCGTGTGGTGTTGGCTTGCCTGGCTTCGGTCATCTTCTGTATTTCTTGACGTCTTTGTGGACACTCAGCAGAGACGGCAGTATGGTGACCTTGGCAGAGAAGGCATTTGAGGAAGTCGCTGGTGCATTGTTTGAAGTGGTGACTCTCGGCGCACTTGCTGCACCGTTGGTCCTGAGATGGGCAATTTTTAGTGAAGTGCTCATAACTATAGCACTTAAAACACTGTCGTAGCTGGTAGTAATGTTCTCTTGTTATTTGTCGGGGTGTACAAGCGAGGCCGAAGCACCGGAAGCCGTTGGTGGTAGCAGAGGTAGCTTCCTCAGGCGAGGTGAAGGTGACCTTCATAGTGGAGAGGTGGCTGTCCTGCACAGGGATGAATTTTACGGTGACTGCAGTCAAGGAAGGGTTATCTTCGGTTATGCTGGTGGCGACGTCAGTGGTAGCTTTTTCGGAGATGAGGGAGCTCACTCTCCTTACGAAAACAGTCCTGGCTGCGAGGTAGTGTCGTGGTGGGGTGAGGAACATGTGCGCCTCCTCGAGAGCAGTGAGGTGAATGGGGTTAAAGAGGCGTTGTACGGCCTCGGCACTGCTGAACAGCAGTTGAGGGAGTCCATCATCGTTGAGTACGACGTCCAGGGGTGCAACATTGGTTGTAGTGGTGATCAAATCCGATATCTCTGATCGAGTAGGGGTCTGGTTCCCTCTGAATCGTACCTTGATTCGGTAGATCATGGCTCTAATCGTTGCTGCCTAATGTTTACCCACCCGGCAGTGCTGGGTGCAGGAGAGCCTGATCTAGAGGGTTGCACTTTCCTTAAGAGGTCTCCCGTCTCTTACCGGTTTAATGCACCGGATCAGGGTGGGGTCTGACCTCTTAAAGCAAAGTACTCTCACTTTTGCGCGAGTCGAGCTTTCCTTTTATATCCCGCTCGCGACTCAGCTCAGAGCGGGTCGCGTGGCGGAGCGCGCTGATTGGTCAGTGGCGGGCTCTCTTGATCCTGAGCGGGGTATATAACACGAAGCTCGATCTGCGAGCCCGCATAAAACACCACAAACCCACAACAGCAGCAGCAATGTCAGGACGCGGCAAGGGAGGCAAAGTGAAGGGCAAGTCAAAGTCTCGCTCCAGCAGGGCCGGACTTCAGTTCCCCGTGGGCAGAATTCACCGTCTGCTGCGTAAGGGCAACTACGCCGAACGCGTCGGTGCTGGCGCTCCTGTCTACCTGGCAGCCGTCATGGAATACCTCGCTGCCGAAGTTCTGGAGCTCGCCGGTAACGCCGCACGTGACAACAAGAAGACCCGTATCATCCCACGTCACTTGCAGTTGGCCATCCGCAACGACGAAGAACTCAACAAACTTCTGTCTGGCGTAACCATTGCACAGGGAGGTGTTCTTCCAAACATTCAGGCAGTTCTTTTGCCAAAGAAGACAGAGAAGAAGTAAGCACTTCTGCCACCCACCACGACAAATACCATAACCAGGCTCCATCCGGAGCCACACACACTTTAATAGAGAGATTCAAGTAGACAATCAACTTTCAAACATTAATAATAACATTTATATTGATTTCATTTGGAATGTGTACATAACAAACAAACAAAACAAAATTATAGGGGATATTCAGCATCACTTGGAATATTAACCAATCATATAAATCCAATATATATTTTATATTTTACTTTAAGCGAGGAATTCTTATTCTATCAATTTTTAATCATACAAATGAACAAAAGCAATTCTTCACTAGACGTAATAAATGAATAAATGATCAAGGTTTTAATGTGTTTCATGAATATATATATATATATATATATATATATATATATATATATATATATATATATATATATATATATATATATATATATATATATATATATATATATATATATATATATATATATTAATACTTGTGAACCAGAATATGTTTGAGCAGCAGCGATCGTGCCTGCCATTGGCCGAAGTGCAACAATTCAAATAATTTAAAGGGCCTGCTCGGGTATATAAGAGAGGCTGGGAGACTGGGGCCGCATCAAACCAATCAGCATCGTTGCAAGAGTAGCATCGTCTCGCTCGCAGTGTGACTTAGGCGGCCCTCTGCTTGAGCGCTACGCACCTCACTCTACCAACGTCTGATTCCTTAGAGTGCGTGAGTGGATGGATCGATCAGCTCGCCAGCCATAAAGCAAGCCAGCATCGTCTCGCTGTCACTACAGCAGCTGTTATCTCCAGCCTCGACGAGCACTTCGGTGCAGCCAAAAACCAGTTCCAGCCAGCAGTTATTGGAGCAGAACCAGGCGCTTCCCAGCCAGCATCTAGTCCTAAGCAGTGACATCTTCCTCGTGGCATCTTCTGTGTGTTGTCCAATGTGCTTGTGTCCAGGTCGGACTGCATTTAGGTGAACAGCCCCACTTCGAGCCAGAACAGGCCCAGGTGAGAAGACGGAAGTTCACCTTTTGCAGTTGCGTCATGGCAT